GTGGCAGGGGAGGTGAGAGGGCAGGCAGAAGGGAAGCACTTACTAATTTATAATGTTTAGATTTCCCTAGTTTTCCTTTCGGTCTTATGCCATTGTCTTCTAAAAGAACTCTGTGAAGAGACCACTCAGCATTGCTTCATTTTGTTACTTTGTATTGAATAATTTTCTCTTTTTCTTACAAGGCAAAGAAAGGGCCTCCTCACTTTTCTATTCCCTATGGAAGAGTAACTTTTTGCTTGGGATCAGCAACCCAGTAACACTTGTGAATCAGTAACAGTAGTCTCACCTTGAAACTTTATTGGCATCTATGGCAAGTTCCATAGCAAAAGGTCTTATAGCTCTCTTTCCCACAAAAAGATTTAGAAACAGCAGAAACCACGCAAGCTAGGTGAGTGAGCTGTTCCATTATATTTCTGTTATCTAATTCAATGTATTCAATTTATTCCATGGTTGAAGTACACTTTCCGCTGAAGCTCTGAATGCTTAGCTGCCTCTTCTTTCATCTCTCTAAAGTCCAGTGGGGCAGTGTGTAATATAATTGGGGTGTGGGGTCCTTTCTTCCTCTTCTTGTATTACTGTCCTCCTTGCTTCTGGGTTGCCCAAAGCCATTGATTCCATCCAGCTCCATGGCACTGGCCCCTTCTCAGTTCTGGTGCCTTGTTTGAAACCCTGTCACTACTCTTGGAATGTAGAAAGAGGCGGCCATGGGCATGCCTGGCATCTGTGTTTGTACGGAAAGGGCTGAACCAATTAGCTTTGTGTACCTTTTTGTGAAGCTGTTTCTCCCCTGTACCTGGCAGGGAGGCTAGAGCTAAGCCCTCACCCAGTCTCTCTGTGCAGTGTTTGGATATTCTGCAACTTTCCCAGCTGAAGGTCTCAGTCTCCTCCTGGGTTAGGAGAGCCCTGCTGTGCAGGGAACAGCACCAGGAACTGCCAGGGCCCCAGGGTTTCCAGTTGGTAGCGCCATCCTTTCCAAAAATTTGGGGAGAGTGTCTAGGGGAGAGAAAGAAATCTGCATCGGACACTGTTTTGTCTGGTTGGGAGTCAGGGAAAGAGAGAAAGGAGATTGAGTATTTTCTGATATTCCCTAATCTCTTCCCACCCAGTTGGGAAACACAGGTCCCTTTTGGGAATCTTCTGAGCCCAGTCACCGGCCAGCAGGCTTTCCCGCCACGGAGGCACACTCGCTGCACACCTGAGTCCCCGCTGTCAATGGCCAGCTAGTGACTTAGACTTCAGACCTGGTCCCTGGTGGAAGGGAGGCTGGGCGTCACCGTATGTGGGCTTTTTTTCTGTTTTTCTTTTCTCTTTTTTCTCTTTTTTGTGTGCACGCCCAACCCCATCCCATAACACACATGATTTAGTTATTTTACATCATTCGTTATCTCGCACCCTGAAACTGAACATAGAGCTATATATTAGATTGAGGTTAGAAGAGGTGGCGACTGTTTATTTAAGGTGATAAAATGGTCCATCAGCAGTAATCTCCATCGATATGTGCCACCAGGAGATGAAGGATGAGGGGACAAGCCACAATTAATTGCCCTATAGTTTTGTAGGAGCGAGTGGAGCCAGCCCAGACCCGCTTCGATCTCCTCTCACGCCTCCTATTTATCATCTCCGCGTTGTATTATGGCGGCTTTGCAGGGGCAGGGCCGGCAAGGTTTATCTACACGCAATATTCTCTCACACACGGGTGCTCCCGTTTAATTTATTAATACAGACATCGGGAGACAAATAAAAACCACATTACCTCGTCTCCGCTTTCTTTTCCTCCCCCTTTTGTCTCTCCCTCTTGGCCCCAGGGTCCAGCCGGCCCAGCTGACAGCCAGGCGGAGCATGGAAAACCCAGCCTCCCAGACTGGCCAGGAGCTTTAAACTCGCCTAGGGAGAGTCCTCCAGAAGGTTCTGCACCAGCTGGGCCTCCCACGGGGCCCGACACAGTGGGCTCACTTTCCCCTTAGCAGAGCTAACTCACTTGCCTCCGGATCTGCTTCTAGACCCTATCTGAGGAGCCTAGAAGACCCCTGCCGGGTGGAAGGAGAGGAGGGTCTGGTGGGTGGTGGGCGTAGTGGGGGTCTCCAGATTTCTGTGGCAGAGGCCACGTCTGGCCTTGCAAGAAAGCTCCACGATGGTAAGAAGGGGGTGAGGCCTTCAAAAGGCACCCTAGATTGGGGGGCCTACAGTGGGCAGCCTGACTGCTTGCTGCCTGCTTGGTCCATCGACACCCCAGGTAGCCCTTTGCGCTGGGAGGGCTAGGGAAGAGCCTGGGCTGGACCATGACGGGGAGCGGGTGTGTGTATGAACCTAGCTCTGCCTGCCCTCTTCCCCAACGGCCAGCCCCCCTAACAGGCAGCAGCTGGTGCCCCGTTTCTGCGCCCAGAGCGCACGAGGCACTTGCCAGCAGGCGGCACTCCTGGGGCAGTGTCACCGTGCAGGGATTGATGGGCGCTGGCCCGCTGGGCTGGGCCGGTCCTGCGAGAGTGAGGGCGGCGACCTCAGCAGTGGTTGGGGGGGATTTATAGCCCTGTGGTTACCTCTGCTAGGCAGGGAGGCAGCCTTTCCAGCTGCGTTTTGGTTCCCTTTCCAGAGGACCAGTGAGGGCAGGCAGAGGCTGGGAGAGGCACTGGGGACCCAAGAACTGGCCTGCCTGTGCCTGGTGCTTCCCAGGGGTCCAAGCTCCGCCTGCGCCCACACATGCCTGTTGGCCTCTCTAGACACTGAAAACCCCCCAAAACGTTTTATATTTTATTTTTCCTAGAAAGACAAATGAAAATACCTGAAAAAAAAAAGTAAAAAAAAAAAAAAAAAAAACCCATGGCCTGCTTTGCCCCCTTTACCTTAAAATAGATCTATTTTCAATAACAAAAGCAATACATGCACTTGTACAAACTTTCAAACAATACAAGGGCTCTGAAAGGAAGAGTGAAGTCTGCTCTCCACTCCACTCCACTGGGCCTGGCCTGCTGAAGTCAGTAGGTAACTGAGACTGTAACTTAAGGATCCCTCCTTCCCTTATCTGGGGACCCATAAACAGGAGCATCACCAGATCTATTCAGGACAGAAAAGCTACCGAATGTGGCTTCTTATATTCCCTAATGCTAATGTGGCATTTCAGAGTATCCTGCTTGAGAATATTATAGTGTTTCTCACAGTTAGAAAACCCTCTGTGAATAGTAATTATGAACTTGTATAAAAACTTACTCTGATTTTTTAAGAGAAAGTAGGAACATTTATTTGCCTCCTCTTTATGAACACAAATAGACTTGCTTATGTATTGCTTGGCGTGGAGCGCTGTGTGTAATATATGTAATATATATGTGTGTGTAGTTTGGGCACCGAGCCCACTTCTTCCTCGAACCTCTTCGTGTAGGTGTTCGTGGCTTGCTGTCGAGAAAACGCTCTGCTAGAATGTTTCTCTCCTTGTGCCACATTTGTCAACCTCCGGTAATCAGTTACTTGTTTTACACATCCTCAGGCTTCTTTGGGACTCCATGGCATAAGTCAGAAGCCAAGTGTTTTCAGTGGCAGAGCTTTCTGTATTAAAAAAACAGTAACGTTAGGATATAACATGTATTTTGATGTAATTGGTCAACTTTTCTGACAGAATATTTTGATAAAGCACCAAGCAGTGTATACATTAGGAAGGCTCGTGTTGGGTGGACTAATGGAAGTGGATTGGCCTTGCCTGCTTTGCTGTGGACCTAGCATGCATGTCATCTTCTAAATATTGGGAGAGCCTCAGCTTTTCACTCTGCACAATGCTACTAAGTTTTTTCAACCTCTCATGGAGACAAAATGAAACTTTAAGCTGAAGAGAGCTTTAGAGAACTTCTTGGAGAAAGGACTAGCCACAGTGTTACCATGCATAACAAATGTCAGGAGTGTGCTTGCTGTCAGTGAGGGTGGTGGCTGAGGTTGGTACTTCTGCTCCTTATTTTATTACTGATATAGGTGGTGTGATGTTCCCTGTTGTGGAGATGTTAGAACTTGACAGAATCTCTGGTGAATTCTGTTAGGGGAGTGAATGCTAAACACTTTGGCTTCTCACCCTTTGTTTCATTGAGCCAACCAGAAAGGGACAGTCAGTTAATCAAAAACCTGGGGTGATTTATTTTTATGGTCATATTGCCTTTGCTTAATTGTCATTTGTTTTAAGCTTTCTTTGCTAAGGTGCTGAAAGGCCATCTCTGAAGTTAGGCACTAACATTCAAAATTATGGATATTATCTATTTACTTTCCAATTTATTCTCTTTAACCGCAAGCTCAAGACTGTGGGAAAGAGCGAGAGAAATCTCAGTAATCCACAGTGCTTTCTGTGGCCCCTAAATAGTGACTTCAGTGAAGTATTTCAGTTCTATTGATTGAGTTACGAGTCTGGATATAAAATTCTCCCAGCTCTCATTAGTCTTCCTAGATCTCTATGTTTGGAGGCTTTGGAGTCAGGCAGACCTGATTGTGAGTCTTTCTCTACCAGTTTCTAGTTTCTGGCCCATGATTAACTTACATTGCTCAGTTGCTTCATCTGCAAAACGGGAATCATGACATTTAGATAATATGGTGATTGTTTAGGTCAAAACAGGTGCCTGGCACATAGTTGGCACTTGGTAATTATTAGTTTTTGTCTTTTTTTTCATTCCCCCTTTATTTTGAAGTTTTTATTTTCACACTCAGAATCTCGAGAGGGTGTGTGGAAGGTGTATGTTCTGGAAGGCTTGACATGTAGAGAGTGAGGACACTTTCTCTCTAGGCCCTGAGGTGAAAAGCAGAGCCTGACACAGTTTTCACGTTAGTTTGTGTTGCTGGAAGAGGGGGTCTCTGTGTGATGGAGGTCCAGAGGCCTGGACACCTCACTATCTGCAGAAAGGGGTTGTTGCTTTTCACCTGAGAGGCCTGGGGACACCTCCAGGAAGCTGCAGTCAGAAGGTCCGCTTATTCCCTGGGCTCTCTTGGGAGGGGTGGAGGAGTAGCTGACAGGAGAGGCAGAGCTGACTGGAGCCCTTCCCAGAGTTAGGATGCTCACAGTCCACCCTCAGCGCTCGCTGAAGCAAATGGCAAAAGGAGGGTTTGCTTACCATGCCGCCCTTCTATGAGGTGTCCTTCACTGAAGATCCTTCAGGGACTCACTTTGTCACAAGTTCCTTGGGGGTTTTGTCTGTTTCAGCATGAAGAGGCCACACCCTGTGTGATCCATGAGGACGGGCTGGGACCAAGGCCCCGAGCAGAGAAGCCCCAAGGGCGACCCCCACCCAGCACAGCCCCCCAGTTGGGACTGGCTCAGTGTCAGGCCTAGTGCCACAGGGCTCCGTGGCTGGGGCGCCTCTGCTCCCCAGGGAGGCTGGGCGGGGAGGCCGGGTTTCGCCAGCGGGCGCCGAGGCTGTCTCCCCGAGGCAGGCCTGCTGGGCCCGGGCGCAGACACGGCGGCTCCGCCAGGCCCATTAATAACCCGGAGGGCGCTGCGCTCCGACAGCGCGGCCGCCGCAGGCCCTGCTTCCCGCGGCCCCTGGCCTCTTACCCCGGGTGTGAGTGGAGGGACACTGGGCGCCTACAGCGCGGCCTGCGGCGTGGGGGTCCCCTTGGCTGCTGGGGGGAACGTCGGAGGAAACAGCTTCGCAGTAACTCGCAGTTTGTAAGGCGAGATGGTAGCAGTTAGCCCGGGAACCCGCCGTCCGGGCAGGAGTTGGGGCCCTCTCCACTCACCATGATTCTGATCTTGAAAGACCCACCGCCCCGTCGTTAAGCCTGCTGTTCGCTTCTGTTGCCCCCTGGGAAGAGCTGGCGCCCAAGCCCAGGCTCCCCCGACTCCCCTGACCCCCCGCACAG